CTTCTTCGTCATCCGTACATCAGACTAACTTCGAGGATAACGACAGTCAAACTGACGGACACTTTTTCAGTGTAACATAGTGGTTAGCCGCGCATGCGCAGCGACTACCAACAAAAATATGTTTTAAAGACAGCAAATGTCAACGCTTGATGAGCACAACCCCGCAGATTCATTACTAGAAGCATAATGCAGTTCTGTTAAGTTTTCTAGAAACACTCTTTAGGTTGGGTGTATTCTTTACTGCACAAAATTCGTGCGGCAGAGTCTGCTTTGTCATTACTTGTGATTAGTCGAAAAGAAAACTTCTCTTTTGCCAATTGAAACCCCGTGTTAACTGAACTTGTCTTTTAGGACTTATCTTCTATAGCAGTATAGACAATATTCCTTGTCTAAACTCCAAATATTTCATAGGAAGTTTGTGATCATTTGTGTAATTTACGAAGCCTCGTCCACTTATTTGCCAGAAAGCGAGCTATATAAGGGTGTTTGAAAACTATTCGTGCATTTCTTGCAATTAGTTGTCATTTTTATAGGAATAATTTTGGAGTATTCATTATTAGATGACCAAAGAAACTCTTCCAGTAAAATTGCAATAAAACTACTTGTTAAAAAAATTCAAAAAAATAAATAAACTCACCCTAATGGTAAAATACATTTTCCAGTAGTCGCGTGATATGGTGGATAGTCATATGATAACAGAAAAAAAGCATTTCTTGAAGTGCAGTCACGTGACCAAATGAGACGTTGTGTACCTTGTACATTTATGCAAAGTCCGTTTGCGTGCTTAATAGGACCATAGCCTAAAAAGAAATTTCAACGATCTGTTGATTTACCATGCTTTAATCTAAAGTTGTCATTCAAACATTGATTCGCTCTACTTATCACAATGATAAGTTAACTTGTAAATACAATTGTAAAATACAAAAATAAGAACATTGAAAATAACGTAGAATCTCTTCCTAAACGAAAACAAAAAATTGAAACACATTGTTTCAACCAAATGAAAATTAATAAACCCAAGTCTACAGAAATAATATTTCTATAATGTGAAACAGAGGAAAAATTAGAAATCCGTGGGTAAAGACGAGCAAAAAATTTCTTGTCAAAAGCAAATTTCTTGTAGCTTTACACTATACATAAGTCCAGGAGCAACAAATAGTATTTTATACCTTTTTCATTAAAATAACAAGGAGGATTTACTGTTTGGTTAAAGCAACATGTTTTTGGACATTGATCTTTGCTGTTGTAAATTATTTCCACATTCCAAAGGTTTGCCTCCAGAAACATCACACGATAATCCTGTAAGACAAAGAAAAATACTGTTTACAAAGGTCACAGCTGCATGGTTTAACAACAACAACTTTCAGCGTTGAAACCAGCTGTTCTTGCTTTGAGTAGCGTTTAATGTCGTAATCAATGTAAGGCCGATTAACAAGTTAATGAAACTTTAAACATTATGTTGGTCTTAACGTAATATATACGACTGTGTTCTTAGAAGTGTGGCCTAACTGTTTGTTTTGTCGTGATCTGTAAGTTTCGTAACCTTAGTACAGTTCTTTCTTTAAAAATCTGATGTTTTTGTTGTAAGCAAACACCAAAATGTTTACATAGAACGACCAAACTAGCAAGCTGAATACACCACAAGTGAATAGTAGTCCCGAGCAAACATCTACTTCACGCTTCGGTTTTTCAAGTGGCTAAAACGTCCCATTATCCATAATACTCAATGTTTTAACAATTTTTATCAGTTACGTTTATAAATTCTTCTTTCCTATAATCCTATAAAAGTCACGTACCAGTCGTATAAGATTTGACATGTAAGATAGTTGAATTGTAACGTGACGTAAAAAACGCATGCACGATTTCTTTACTAAATGTAAAATTGAACAGTTAATGAACGTAAATGAGATCATTTATTGAGTTTGTACTTCTGAACTACGCAAAACTATAAACTGATTTATCTCGCAGTTATATTCATGTAGTTACATGTTGAAAATTATTGATTATTCTCGTATAAATCCACAATATATTTGCTCCTTATTTTCGAAAGTTGGTCTCTTAGTAATGTCGGCGCTCGTCATTTTTTGTCTTCAATTTTTGTGCTGGATGCTTGATCCAGTCTTATTTCGAGATCAGTGGTTTGAATAGGATAACTGTTTGCGTCGTTATGGCAACCATGTCTCCATTTGTTTTACACTTTTATCTTTAGTTTTTAAGGAATTAATCGCATCTTTTTTCGGTTGAGTGAACTTTTTTGTTTTTTGCGTGACGATTGTTATTCATTCAAGAAGCATTATGTTTAATATTGAAGGAAGTCTACAAATAATTCTTTGAGGTATTTGAAAACTTCTGCTACATGAAAACTCATTTGTAGATTTTGTTGTATTTGCGTATGTTCTATTTTTTCTTATAATAAACATCAACACGAACTTTTAATAAAATGTCTCGAAGGAAAACTGAAATAATCTTCAATAAAGTCATCGCAGCCAGGCGTTTATGTAAAAATTCCACTCAACATGAGCACAATATGCGCATGCGAATTGTCACCTCTCCCCTGCTTATTAACTGTAGGGAGCCTCTTCAAATTAATTTATAATTAATGAGGACTATCCAGTTCATTAATTCGACGTTAATTTAAGACAAATTTGTCATCATATGAGTGACAAACGTAAGCGAAGTCTTTTCTGTTTGCTTTTGTCAAAATTTTCTTTATTCGTCTCGAGGAGGCGTATATACTACGAACCTTTTCTTTTCATATTTAGGAAATTATACATAATCTAACAAAACATGCCCCCAAACAATTTTATACACATTTCCCTTTATTTTTCCTAAATCTCACCACCACCATTACTTCAAACAATTTTCAATCGGTACAAAAATGTCATTTCATACTTGATTTAGGCGTTTTGCAAGTGTAGTAAACAAGTAGTGTTGATGTTTCGCTGCAATTGGATGGTCTTGATAAGAAATCCTCCTTCCGTACTGTAAACGAACATTTTTTCTTTCCGTTGCATTGATTTTGCGCAACACTCAACGCTGACGTTGACACACAGTCTTTTTCCATCGAAGATATCCTATATGGTTTTCTATTTCCCCCATTTTCTTTTAACAAAACACCAAATTCAGCTGAACGCATTTCAATGACCCAGTTAGAGCACGATTCCTCACATTGGATATTTAAATCATCTCCGTTCTCAATCTTTCTTTCGCAAACTAAAAAAATCACGATTATGTTAAAATATATTTCCAGAATATTTCTAAACAAATCAAGCGAGACATAATGAAGCGAAATCCATATGTTCTCAAGTTCAACAATCTAAGTAAAGGCCTCGTTTAAAACACGCACTTTAGCAGAGTCATATTTACGATATAACGCTTAAATTCGAGTGCTGAAATTACCCTCTGATACTCAATAGCAAAAGCATTGCCCAATTTCATTCTTTCATTTGAATCTAATAAAAGGTGAAATTTCATCCTGGCATATAATCGCACTACTGAAATTTGTAACATCATATATTCATGAATATTAGCTATGTATAGTTCTCAACAATCATCTCTGTGTAAAGCTATTTATAAACTGTAATACGTCTCGTAGCGTACTGGCGTAATTGACGACTCCACTTGATGATGCAACTTACCATAGTTGAATTTGCACGAATTGTTAACATCACAGACTTTTTCATTGATAAAGACACTTTCATTGTCATTAGGCTGCCATTCATTATTGACTACAGATGAACCACCAATACAGATTTTGTATGGTGTATCAATATGAAAGTAGTATAAATTTCCATTCTTGAATGGTCGGTATCTTCCTACTTGACCGCCGCAATATCTACTCTCTGTTAGTAAAAGTTCAACGTTTTCCCCAGGATCACCAAGATTCAAGCTATAATAAGTAAATGTAAATTGATAAGTTAGCGACATATTGAAAACTAACGTTGATTCACAAAAACGTTTCTTTAAAGAAAGTTTTTTTTTACATTTTTCATTTTATCGCTTTTATAAAAAACGAAGATTTAAAATTTGCGTTTTGCGCGAGCCTAATTATATTCTTTGAGATTTCAGATTTTCTCAATTTCTAAAACAAAAAATAATATAAAAAATTAATACAAACTAAGTGCAGAAGAACAAAACTTGACATTAACACCAACCAAAGCCAAAAACATCTTGCAAATTATGACACTTTTTTAATACTAATATACAAACTTTGTCGTGGTTACAGATCTAAAAATTTGTTTTAAAGACAGCAAATGCCATGATCAGTTGCAAGAATAACCTTAGAACTCTTATTTTGTATTACATGACCGAAGAAACTCTTCCAGTAACATTGCAATAAAACTGCTTGCTAAACAAATTTAAAAAAAATTAAATAAACTCACTTGGATGGTAAAATACATTTTCGTGTAGTCACGTGATATGGTGGATAGTCATATGACAACAGGAAAAAAGCATTTCTTGAAGTGCAGTCACGTGACCAAATGAGACGTTGTGTACTTTGTACATTTATGCAAAGTCCGTTTGCGTGCTTAATAGGACCATAGCCTAAAAAGAAATTTTAACGATGTGTTGATTTATCATGTTTTAATCTAATGTTGTCATTCAAACATTCACACGCTCTATTTATGGAAATGATATGTTAACTTGTAAATGCAATTGTAAAATACAAAATAAGAACATTGAAAATAACGTAAAAACTCTTCCTAAACGAAAATAAAAAAGTGAAACACATTGTTTGAACCAAATGAAAATTCATAAACCCAAGTCTACAGAAATAATATTTCTATAATGTGAAACAGAGGAAAAAGTTAGAAAATCGTAGGTAAAGACGAGAAAAAATAATTTCTTGTCAAAAGCAAATTTCTTGTAGCTTTACACTATACATAACATAAGTCAAGGAGCAAGAAATAGTATTTTATACCTTTTTCATTAAAATAGCAAGGAGGATTTACTGTTTTGTCGAAACAACATGTCTTTGGACATTGATCTTGCAGTTGTACATTATTTCCACATTCCAAAGGTTTGCCTCCTGAAACATCACACGATAAACCTGTAAGACAAAGAAAATACTGTTTACGAAGGTAACAGCTGCATGCTTTCACAACGACACTTTAAGCGTTGAAACCAGCTGTTCTTGCTTTTGAGTAGCGTTTGATGTCGTAATCAATGCTAGGCCGATTAACAAGTTAATGAAATTTTAAACACTATGTTGGTATTAACGTGATATATACGACTGTGCTGTTAGAAGTACGGCCTATTTGTTTGTTTTGTCGTGATCTACAAGTTTCGTAAGATTAGTACACTTTTTTCTTTAAAAATCTGATGTTGTTGTTGTAAGCGAACACCAAAATATTTACATAGAACGACCAAACTAGCAGGCCCAATACACCACAAGTGAATAGTAGTCGGCAACAAACATCTACTTCACGCTTCGGTTTTTCAATTGGCTAAAAAGTCCCATTATCCATAATACTGAATGTAATGATTAATCTTTATCACTTACGTTTATAAAGTCCGTTTTCCTATAATCCTATAAAATTCACGTATCATTCGTATAAGATGTGACATGTAAGATAGCTGAATTGTAACGTAACGTAAAAAAACGCATGCACGATTTCTTTACTACATCTGAAATGTTCTATTTAGCTGCCATTAGCAGCGTTTTTCATTTTCGTCTTTCAGGCAAAATTGATTCCGAAGAAATAATCTTATTGTCGGTAGTCTGCTATTTGAATACATTTTATTTCGATAAATTCGTTTGCTGGCTACACAACTGCTGAGTAAATCTCCAAATTTTCCTCAACACAAAGAGTATTTAAATTTCATTGACAGGATACAAAACTGCAAAGCTGTAACAAAATAGTGATCTCTCATATACATATTTTAGTAGTTAAATAACTTTTTACGTTAATTTTGCTGGACTTCCCTAATGTTCGAAGGCACCCATCATTTGACACTCTACACCCTTAGTTATGCCACTGTTTAAGCACGGGTGTTGCTGTGCCATGATTATAGTATTGTAAGGCAAAATCATTTACTACATACAAACACAAACAAAAATATAATTTACCATAGAAGTCTAGAAACTACAAACAAAAATTATATATGTCAGCATATACAGTTAATATTTCACAAATTATTATAAGTGAGGCTTAGTGATTAAATGTACTCGAAGGCCGAGGGAGGTAATTAAATAGTCATGAGCATGCGGGCCTACATTTTTTAGGGGGATCTTTTTTCATTTTCAATATGATATAATTTACACAACTTTTCAGCAAATAATTCCCAACTGCTCTTATCTGCTCAATATTCATGGGGGGCAATGGGGGAAGGCTTCATAGCCACATGCCCCCCTTGCCTAATATGCATATGCATGTAAATACTTTGTAATGATTGTTATTATTTCATGCTCAAAGTTCGAGGTTTTTACTAATATATCACCAGTACAGACGCGATACAAGGTTGTATTATTTGTAATACTACCTTTGAATCCGAATAGCAAATCCTAATTAAGTAATTAAATACAATATTAATTCGACATACTAGAACAAAAGAAATTCAGGCAACCATGTTATTTAATAGTTGAAAACCATGCATGCGAAACAAACACCTTTTATCAACTAGGATTCAGGATTTTCAACTTTATATTGCACTGAGAGGAAAACGCAGAGATGTGTTAAATTGTACTAAGTAAAGGAGGCTCTGCTGCGCATTCCAACTCCATACTCGTTCTACACTTCATAATTTATACTCCGTATTTTCCAGCATGCCATTCGTGCATCTTAACACGAGAGTGCCTCGGTTTTAATTCAAAATTATATGGCACTTGCACAATTTTCATGGTAAAATATTACACAATATTTACTATAAGAAGACAGTTGTCAACAGGTGTAAATGAAAATACCGTCTAAATAATTGTAAGAAGTAAAAAAAGCAAAGAAATATAATTTCACTATATTACATTGACCAACCCTTAGTCAACTGGAAGAAGCCGACGAACCTTAAAACGCGAGCGAAAATATTAAAGAAGTACATCATTCTTTTTTCTTTGTTTCCGTTGAGCTGGATTTCACATCAAGGACCAAACAGTCAATACAACGAACTCTGAAACCAAAACAAAGCTTAGTGTCATGTAAAATGATATCCGCATCGTTACTTTTAAATGCGTCATTTCGTAAACCTATTGCTTTTTTCTCTTTTATTTTGTTGTCATTGACATGTAATCGTTATCTTCTTCCTTCATTAGCGTTGTATCTACCTCTTGATAAATTGTGTCTCCCTCGTTTGCGTTCAGTGCCTGATAGTCATCAGTGGCGTAGCTAGGAAAAATAGTCACTCCCGCCAATCCATCTCGCGCCGGAGGCGACCCAATAGGGGTCCGGGGCATGCTCCCCGGAAAATTTTGAAATCCAGAGCCTTGGAAACAGCATTTCCTGCGATTTCGAGGGCGAATTATTTGTTGTACAATAATTTATAAAAACCCATTTTGTTAGCTGCATTCTTAATGTGGCAATCGTTGAAACTGCAACTAGTTAAAAGGTACTAAAGGTGGCTCAGAGAAACGTTACGCAGGAGACAATTGTCCCCTAAAACATAATTTACTCATCACTGCCCCTGCATAAACAGAAGAAATTTGTATTAGCACAAAAATAATATAGTATACGACACTTCTAAAGTGCATAGAGAGAGATTTTTCTTAGCATTCTACTTGTTAGTTTAAACTTGTTTAGATTGGGGCAAGTAGACAGGGATGGCTTTATTCTTTAAAGTTATGCTTAATTTTCTCAATGAAGTACCATGTATTATACGAACAAATATCAAAACACATACTATACTCATCATTTATAAAGAAAGGCCAGCCTCCTGGGTTTTTCTACAAATTTTCAACCACCTCGTTATGCAACACCTCTGATTCCTCTTTCTTTTCAATGATATCTTTGTGAATAGATATTCTACACAAAGAGCTAAGCCGACCTTGACCCATTCTATTTCTTAAATAGCTTTTACCCTTTTAAGCAAGAAAACGACCTCTCTACTGAAGCACTTGCCACTGCCAACACACCATTCAATTTTAACAAATTTACCACTTGACCTAAACTCGACTGGAGATTAAATTTGAAGATGTATTTAAGAACCTCATTACTGCACTCTTTGTGAAAGTCCTTGTCGTTGTAAATGAAGGAAAGTTGACTCTCCAAAGTTTGGATGTCAAAAGAGGACTATACTTATCTTTGAGAAGATTGATCTTCTCCTGTGGAACTATGCCCTTCCATGTAGTAAATAGTTTAGGATTTACAAGGTCTAAAACTCGAACTGATTAATATCTTGAAATCGTTCACTTAACATGCCTTTAATGGAATCAATAATCTCAAAATAAAGCTGTTTGTAATTGTATCTACTATCTGCTCTGGTTGCTGGTGGGCCTACTTTTCTAGTGCAGTTTGGTAAAACTCGGTGAAAGCTTGATCTGTGCGAAGTGACACAATAAACTGCTTGAAATTGTCAATCTTGCTTATGCCATAGTTAAAATGGGTTTCCTATTTTGAAGAATGGAATACAAAATTGTGGACTGTTCTAAAATCCTGTAAAAACACACACTAGAAAACAAAAGAAAGCTATCAAGATAATGCAGTAAGCCACTTATTTTACTTAATGACTCATCATCCCACCCAGCTGGTTGTTCAAGTACCCCTCAAAAATATCTAAAAGTTTTCATAGTTTTGTGCAATACATTGATTAATCTAGAGCGATAATACCATCTTGTTTCACCAGGGCAGGAAACTCAAGGTTGTTAGATGTGAGAAAAGCTTTTCTTTTGGGGCATTGCTTGTAAATGTGCTGAATGTAGCTATATTAATAAAAAGATTTTAACAGGAGAAATTGATGAGGCTGACTGGCATAGGACCAGGTTCAATCTATGAGCTGCACAATGAACAAAATGAGCAAAAGGATACTCTTGTCGAACCAATGCTTGAACACCATTGATATGGCCAGACATGACAGAAGCACCATCATATGTTTGTAAAACCAGTTTTTCTTTTATATTAGAATACTCACCAAGTTTATCTTTGACAACTTGTGATATTGCTGTGGCATTTCTGTTCATACTTACATCCACAAATCCTAATTGCCTCTCCATAATTTCACTTGCTTTGTCAAACCGAGCAATAACACTTAGCTGCTCTTTGGTGGAGACATCAGATGCTTCATCAACCTGAATACTCATAAATGTGCAATCATTTATTTCCTTTCTGATTTCATCTTCAATAATTGAATCAAGACAGCTGATAAGACCATTTTGAATTTCTGGGGAGACTCCAGTAAATCTTCTGTCACCAACTATATCAGATTCTGCTAGTCTACTGTGCAGTCGACGCTCAAATACAGAATCAAACTTAGCAAAACATTCGAGCAACTCTCTATAATTACCTTTGTTCAAGCTACCTTCGGACTCATTGTGACCTCTAAATGGCAACTCTTGCTTTGACAAATACAGCACGGCCTCAGTAACAGTTTTAAAATTTCTCGATTTTGTCTTACCTCCTCATTGTGACGCTGAATCTCATTTCTTCTAGCGAGGGACATAAGACAATCAATTCGTTCACTAGCTCCATACGTTTTCCATGTCTTAAATGCAGTCAAATGCGATTTAGATTTTTCATGCTTCTTAGCATCAGACATAATACTCCGCATATCGTTGTAGCCATTCTTAGTCCACGATGGCGATGTTTTGGGGAAAACATTAGACATGGCCAACAAAACACTTTCTGCAAGGTTGTACTGCCACACAGCCAGTCCTTCGCCTCATACCAATCTCTGAAATGCTCTTCCCTTATTTTGGATAGTTAAATCAGGAGTAGGCCGTTCATGAACGATAACATTCTGTTCGACCGACGATCGAGCAGAGAACGGTTTAGCTAATAAGCTATTTACTAAATCAACATCAGTTGAGCAAATCGCAGTCGCACTTGAAGCCATTGTGTCATACACAAATACAAAATAGCAATTTGAGAGTAAACACAATGGAAAATTAATACCGACAATGACACGTAATTTGATAATCACTAATCGCTGTACTTGTATTAAAAGGTCGAATAATTACAACCTCCGCCAATTTAAAATAGCGGGAGTTCGACTATAAAACAGCAGATTTGAGCATGCGTCAAGTCCCTTAGCCAACCAGAATTCAAAACTTCTTATATAGAATTATATTGTATGTTCCGCCCTCTGAAGATGGGCGGAATACGTGGAGAATCGCGCGAGTATGCAATGTGCGAGAAAAGGCGGTTGCTAGGTTACATAACAAATCTTGAGATTTTGCTGTATTACGATTACGAAATACGAACCACCTAATAAAAGCGTAAATATGAACGAATAAAACATAATATTACAAATTGTTCGTGAAATAATGTATATCTTATGTCCAAATAGAATATTTATTGTTTTTTTGGGAAATTTCTACTCCCGCCGGGCGGGAGTAGCGGGACCGCTAGCTACGCCACTGATAGTCATCTTCTTTATTCATTTGTGCTATATCCAATTCTTGATATGTTGTGTTTTCTTCGTTTGCATTCAATGACTGGTGATTGTCATTGTTTTCGTTCAATTTTGACAAGTCTAACTCTTCGTAAGTTGAATCTTAATGGCTTGCTTGCGGTTTAGACTTTGATTGAAGTTTTTTACTGCTTTTCTAATAACATACAGAAAAACGGTGGAGTTAGAATGCAGTTTATGGTGCAGTAAAATGAAAAAGTGATAATATTGGTGTAGTAGATGAAAAAACAGGAAACGATAGTGATGGATAATACAGAGAAATGAGAACAAAACAGTTAAAGCAAATAATGGTGATTGCGAGGAAAACCTTGAGATGAGAGCATATACTTAAGAGAGCAACGTTATCAAAGAAATCTACCGCTTCAGCGTACACCCTAAAGTTACGTGCGGTGTTTACTACAACGCAGAGAAATCATTTTCTTTACAATAAGTTGACATATAACCTGTTTTTCTAAGGTTGTTGACGAGTACGATAGAACCTTACCGTAACAACATTTTGATTTGTTTTAAAATCTTCTTTTACGCACTCTTCGTCAATGCTAACTGTTAAACGTTTTTCATCTTTTGTTCTTTTCTTATAGAGAACGCGTTCCGTGTACATATTGCCAAGATTTCGCTTTTGACGCATTCTCCTATGAAAACCGGACGATTTTAATTAACTTTTTGCGTCATTAAATATTAACAAGGAAAAACTGCAGTTTTTATAACTTGATGAAATTTGAAATCTTTAGTTACAAAGATGCGATGGTACTTATTTGAAAGGTATGGCAAAGCAATGAACGACTGGATTGCGTGAATATAGTAGTTTAAATGAATATTTTTATCCATTGCTCTTTTAAATTCAAAACCGCACATAACATAGGACCAGAACGAGGTTTTAAAAACATACATGAGGATTCGTGAGTAAAATCACCTGGTGCAACAAGCATGTAAAAGGAGGGACGATGTTAGATCAATAATAGACTGGGTTAGTTTTCGTTTATTATGTTATGCCCATCTATTTTTTTATGTGGATATGTTTTCTGAATTTGAGGCCACAACTGAATAAATCCAAAAACACCTCCTGTTGGGGGGTTCTCCCTGGCCTGTTTAAAAGTAACAAAAAATGTGTAGAAAATATCTGTTAAAAAGAATTACACCTGAGCACAAAATTGATGAATGTTACTGAAGGAAATATTGGTGTATCAGAATTGACAAAAACTACAAAATACAAACCAAATTAAAAAGACAACAATCAGAACAATGAATGGAACAGCACCAATTGCAACGCCTGCAACTAAAGAAAACGAAACTCTTTATAACACTATCATAGTTCTCATTTTTCAATGTACTAATTAAAACATGGGTATATATTAATATGGGCCACACTAACTATCAATCTTCCGCGGTCTCCGTCAATGATATAATGAAAATATAAAACTAGAAAATATAGTGTTATTTTATTACCTAAGTATAAGTTATTTTTGGTGCTAGTACTACATTTGTTTTCTTTTTTAAAAACAGTTTCGTGATCTTCTGTGGTGGCTTTTTTGCTAGGAGCTTTGGATATGGTGTCACTTTTTGATGACGTAATGATTTGCATTGCCTGTGTCGTTCTAATCACTACAAATGACAAAGAAGAAGATGGCAATAGTTACGTTACGTCCACTAAATACAAAAAGTGAGATGTTAATAATAATGCAGCAATCTGATTAATGAGAAGGAATTATTTAAAGGAAGATGCAATGTTTTTTTCTGTTTGGTACAAAAGCATCATTCCACTATTTTTCAACTTTCTAGTTCAATTTGCTACTATACGTCACTCAACCATATTATGTATCTGAAAGATACAGATTGTGACTTCACAATGTGACCATATACAAGCAAACTTTTTAACAAGATCCGGTCAGATGAACACAACCCCCCCCCCTTCTTAATTTCGCAACTAAATAAAGCAAAATAAAGCAAGAGGAAGAGTTTAAGCTCATCCGATCAAATATAGGGGAAAAAATTGCATGTATAAACACACTGTTCCTTCACCTTCCCCAACTTGGAACAAAGTATATGTAGCTTACTCGATGCTAAAGAAAGAGCTTCTTTAAAACAGAAACGTCATTGTTTGAATTAACCAATGGGAAGTTTAAAGCAACGTGTAATATCTGAAAAAGCCGCACTGATGAAGTGGCACATGCCCTTCACTACATTTCCCCAATATGCATTACACTGATAATGCCATGAATGATTATAAAAAGTAAAGTAATGAAGTATTGCTGTTGGGTAAGGTGGCTTTCGTGCTGGGTACAGCAGGTAAAGGATTACTTTTTGCCGAAGGGTTCACTGGTGTTACTGTTGTTGTGCTAATCACTGCAAACAATTAATGTAAAAAAAAACTAAAGACGCTGAGCTACGTTTCTATAAAAAAAATTCAACAAAACATGTACACGACAAGGTGAACGGAAATAGTGTAGCTATGTTATGCCAACCACTCCAAAGTAAAAACTATGGAAACACTATTCATATATATAAGGGTGTTTTTAATAGTGAGCATTGCGTTGACGAGAAGGAATTTTGACATAGCTTGCGCCAAAACATGACACAAATAAAACAAAAATAGAAAATAACATGGGGTCCAATATGGAAAATGTTGTTCACGATACTAAAGTTTCGAGCAACATGCCCAATGCAAATGCGAGTGCTCAAGTCCAAATATCGGATTATATTGTGTCTTTCATTTTTACCTGTATTTTACAAAGCCCTTATATGTAAATTATATTAATGTTTAAGTAGACTCCTAACAGTTCACCGAAGATTCGGATGTTTCAGGTAGCCTTCACTAAAAACATTATTTTGATCAAACACACTAAAACTGTGGAAATATGAACTATGCGGGAATAGTCAAGAATGTCAGTAAAGTACACAAAAGCAGCCAGGCGTTTGTGTAAAAAAATGCACTTGACATGAGCACAATATGCGCATGCGAATTGTCACCAGTCCACGGCTTAGTAACTGTATGGAGCCTCCTCAAATTAATTTATAAATAACAAAGATTATCCAGTTCATCAATTCGATGTTAATTTAAGACATATTTGTCATCATATGAGTGACAAACGTAAGCGAAGTCTTTTCTGTTTGCTTTTGTCAAAATTTTCTTTATTCGTCTCGAGGAGGCGTACATACTACGAACCTTTTTTTCATATTCATAGGAAATTATACATAATCTAACTAAAGATGCCCCTAAACAATTTTACACACTTTCCCCTTATTTTTCCTAAATCTCACCACCACCATTACTCCAAACCATTTTCAAACGGTACAAAAATGTTATTTCATACTTGATCTAGGCGTTTTGCAAGTGTAGTAAACAAGTAGTGTTGATGTTTCTCTGCAACTGGATGGTCTTGATAAGAAATCCTCCTTGCGTACTGTAAACGAACATTTTTTCTTTCCGTTGCACTGATTTTGCGCAACACTCAACGCTGACGTTGACCGACAGTCCTTTTCCATCGAAGATATCCTATATGGTTTTCTATTTCGCCCCCTTTCTTTTAACAAAACACCAAATTCAACTGAACGCATTTCAATGACCCAGTTAGAGCACCATTCATCACATTGGATATTTAAATCATCTCCGTTCTCAATCTTTCTTTCGTAAACTAAAAAATCACGATAATGTTAAAATATATTTCCAGAATATTTCTAAACAAATCAAGAAAAAGAACAATCTACACCACCGCAACATTCACTTGAGAGAAAAGTGGTTAATATTCTTCTTGTAAAAGGAAGAAATAAAGTATGTAATTTAAGTAATTTATATAAAAACCACAATCGAAGGTACAAAGTCATTTCCAACAATAAACGTAATTTACAAACTACTTTCCTTTGCACTTACGTGTTATCAGTGGCGGATCTCAAAATAAATTAGTGCAGCACATTTTGGAATATATTTACATTTCTAAACACCTTTGAGACAAGTTCATTGGCAAAATTATAATCTTTATAAATTAAAAAACAATAGTTTTTTTTCGAAAGTAATTTGAAGTTAAAATTGAGAAATTATAATTTATTTTGTGGTACCCTAGATCCGCCACTGCGTGTTATTATTTAAACATTTTAAATGAACGAACATTTTTCAATAACGAGCATCATTTTTCTGTTTAACGCTTATTGGAGAGACCGTTAAAAAACAAACATTCATTGAAAGACACAATGAAGCGATATCTACATGTTCTCAAGTTCAACAATATAAGTAAAGTGATCGTTTAAAACACGCACTTTAGCAGAGTCATATTTACGATGTAACGCTTAAATTAGAGTGCTGAAATTACCCTCTGATACTGAATAGCAAAAGCATTACCCAATTTCATTCTTTCAATTGAATCCAATAAAAAGTGAAATTTCAACCTGACATAATCGCACTCCTGAAATTTGTATTGTCATATTCGTCTTAACAATTTTACTCTAAAGAATCGAGTCAAAGTTGATGCCTATTTTATGCAAGATTCAATTGTTATTCATGAAGATTAGCTATGTATAGTTCTCAACAATCATCACTGTGTAAAGCTATTTATAAACTGTGATACGTCTCGTAGCGTACTGGCGTAATTGACAACTCATCTTGATGTTGCAACTTACCATAATTGAATTTGCATGAATTGTTAACATCACAGATTTTTTCATTGATAAAGACATTTTCATTGACATTAGGCTGCCATTCATTATTGACTACAGATGAACCACCAATACAGAGATAGTATAGTGCATCAGCATGAAAGTAGTATAAATTTCCATTCTTGAAAGGTTGGTATCTTCCAGATGGACCGCCGCAATATCTACTCTCTGTTAGTAAAAGGTCAACGCTTTTCCCAGGATCACCAAGTTTCAAGCTATAATAATTAAACGTAAATTGATAAGTTAGCGATATACTGAAAACTAACGTGGATTCTCAAAAACAGTGTTTTAAAAAAAAAGTTTTTTTACAATTTTGATTTTATCGCTTTTATAAAACACGAGGATTCAAAAATTACGTTTTGTGCGAGCCTAATTATATTCTTTGAGATTTCAGATTTACTCAATTTCCAGAACAAAATATTAATACAAAAAATCATACAAAACTAAATGCAGAAGAACAAAACTTTGACAATGACACCAACTAAAGCCAAAAACAACTTCGAACTTATGACAAATCTAAAAAAAGGCACGCAGTGCGTACATGTGGGTATCTGTTTAAGTATGTTAATTTATAAACATAGCTCATAAAATATATATTAAATAATATTTGCACCAAACTTGTTCGAGGTATGAAAAAGTGCTATGTGCTCACTGAATGGTCGAATGACCAAATAACTTTCTAACCTATCCTACACTAACAAAAATCCTCCTTTATATTGCATGTCACGTGACTGTACTCACATTAAGAAAAGTGAAGTCTCGAAAAATTGCTTACAAATTTAAATGATGAATTTTTCATCGTTTAATTTCACCAAAAAGCATGACGCCCTTTAAATGTGTTAATTTATTCATTAATATCACAGTATTCTAAAAGTAATAACACAGTAATCGACTCAGCTCCATGCGTCTTTATATAACAACCCGGCAGTGGATCTAGGCGCAACTTGGTAGCACGATCACAGCGAGCAGTAGCGAGCAAAATGAATCAAAGCTGCTTAGTTTTAAATTCAAAGTACTTTCAGAAAAGCAAAATTGGTTTTCAATTTCTAAAGAATATACTTTCACCAATTGACTTATCTCTGAGGGGCTTAAAAATATATTCCTTAATGTGCAGCAGTAATCTACTTTGACTAACCCTAGCTCCGCCACTGCCTTAGAACTCTTAGGTTATTTTGGCAAACAATCATAGCAATTGCTATCTTGAAAACAATTTCAAGGCACTCTGCTCAAAATTGTGGAAGCTTTTCTATCTCCGGAAATTGCATTTAAAATTGAGTTGAATTGAATATAATCAAATTGAGAATTGAATGACCCTAGCTTCGATCCTTGAAACTCACAACCATGTGGCAAAAAGTTGAGGTCCCTATTTATGCCCAGAACAATAAGACTTTACTACAGCATTTTTTTGAGGAAAAATTACGAAACATCCATGAATTTTCAAGTAAAGTTATTCCGTTGTGTTCGCATGCTCGTATACAATGAAAATTTGGTCACGTTTAGTGTAATTGTCAGACAGAAAGCATGAAAAACTTTTGGATTTTGATTAGTGGATTTAATGCATGCAAGACGTTTTTAGCTGACATGTAAATGTCATAACGCAATAAGAACGTATAGTGTGGAAAATGACGAGCACAATCCTGCAGAATCATTAATAAAAGCACAATGCAGTTCTGTTGAGTTTTTTAGAAACACTCTTTAGGTTGGGTGTATTCTTTACTGCACATAATTCGTGCGGCAGAATCTGCTTTGCCATTACTTGTGACTGGTCGAAAAGAAAACTTCTCTTTTGCTAATTAAAACGTCATGCTCACTGAACTTGTCTTTTGGGACTTATCTTCTATAGCAGTATAGAAAATATTCCTTGTCTAAATTCCAAATATTTGATAAAAATTTTGTGATCATTTGCGTAATTTACGAAGCCTCGTCGACTTTTTTGCCAGAAAGCGGGCGATATAAGGGTGTTTAAAAACTATTCGTGCATTTAATACAATTAGTTGTCATTTTTAAATGAATGATTTTGGAGTATTCATTATTAGATGACCAAAGAAACTCTTCCAGTAACATTGCAATATAACTGCTTGTTAAACAAATTTAAAAAAATTTAAATAAACTCACTTGGATGGTAAAATACATTTTCCTGTAGTCACGTGATATGGTGGATAGTCATATGACAACAGGAAAAAAGCATTTCTTGAAGTGCAGTCACTTGACCAAATGAGACGTTGTGTACGTTGTACATTTATGCAAAGTCCGTTTGCGTGCTTAATAGGACCATAGCCTAAAAAGAAATTTCAACAATCTGTTGATTCATAAACCAAAGTCTACAGAATAAATATTTCTATAATGTGAAACAGAGGAAAAAATTAGAAATTCGTGGGTAAAGACGATCAAAAACTTTCTTGCCAAAAGCAAATTTCTCGTAGCTTTACACTATACATAACTCCAGGAGCAACAAATAGTATTTTATACTTTTAAACTAAAATAGCAACGAGGATTTACTATCTTGTTAAAGCAACATGTTTTTGGACATAGATCCTACTGTTGTACATTATTTCCACATTCCAAAGTTTCGCCTCGAGAAACATCACACGATAAACCTGTAAGAAAAAGAAAAATACTGTTTACAAAGGCAACAGCTGCATGCTTTCCCAACAACACTTTAAGAGTTGAAACCAGCTGTTGTTGCTTTTGAGTAGCGTTTGATGTCGTAATCAATGCAAGGCCGATCAACAAGTTAATGAAATTTTAAACAATATGTTGGTCTTAACGTAATATATACGACTGTGTTCTTAGAAGTGCGGCCTAACTGTTTGTTTTGTCGTGATTTGTAAGTTTCGTAGCATTAGTGCATTTTTTTCTTTAAAAATATGATGTTTTTGTTGTATGCGAACACCAAAATATTTACATAGAACGACCAAACTAGCAGGCTGAATACGCGACAAGTGAATAGTGGTCCGCAACAAACATCTACTTCATGCTTCGATTTTTCAAGTGGCTAAAACGTCCCATTATCCATAATACTGAATGTAATGATCATTCTTTATCACTTACGTTTATAAAATCCTTTCTCCTATAATCATATAAAATTCACGTATCATTCGTATAAGATGTAACATGTAAGATAGCTGAATTGTAACGTGACGTAAAAAAAACGCATACACGATTTCTTTACTAAATCTGAAATATTCTATTTAGCTACCATTACCAGCGTTTTTCATTTTTGTCTTTCAGGCAAAAATTGATACCGAAGAAATAATCTCATTGTTGGTAGCCTGCTATTCGTATACATTTCATTTCGATAAATTCCTTTGCTGGCTACACCATTGCGGAGTAAATCTCCAAATTTTCCTCAACACAAACAGCATTTAAATTTCATTGACAATATATAAAACTGCAAAGCTGTAACAAAATAGTGATCTCTCATAAACATATTTTAGTAGTTATATAAATTTTTATGTTAATTTTCCTGCACTTCCCTAATGTTCAAAGGCACCAACCACTTGACACTCTACACCCCTCAGTTATGCCACTGGCCAAGCGCAGGTGTTGTTGTGTCATTATTATAGTATTGTATGGCAAAAACACTTACTACATAAAAACACAAACAAAAATATAATTTACCATAGAAGTCTGGAAACTACAAACAAAAATTATACATGTCAGCATATATAGTCCCGGTTGTTAATTAATATATCACCAGTACAGATGCGATACAAGTTTGTATTACTTGTAATACCATCTTAGAATTTGAATAGCAAATTCTAATTAAGAAATTAAATACATTATTAATTCGACATACTAGAACAAAAGAAATTGAGGCAACCATGTTATTTTATAGTTGAAAACCATGCATGTGAAACAAACACCTTTTATGAACTAGGATTCGCCATTTTCAACTTTATGTGGCACAGAGAGGAAAACGCAGAGATGTGTTAAATTGTATTTAGTAAAGGAGGCTCTGCTGCGCATTCCAACTCCATACTCGTTCTACACTCCATAATTTAAACTCCGTCTTTTCCAGTATGTCATTCGTGCATCATAACTCGAAAGTGCCACGGTTTTATCACGAAATTATATGGCACTTGCACAATTTTCATTGTAAAATATTACACAATATTTACTATAAGAAGACAGTTGTCAAAAGGTGTAAATGAAAATACCGTCTAAATAATTGTAAGAAGTAAAAAAGCAAAGAAATATAATTTCACTATATTACATTGACCAACCTGTAGTCAACTGGAGGAAGCCGACGAACATTAAGACGCGAGCGAAAATATTAAAGAAGTACATCATTCTTTTCTCCTCATTTCCGTGAATTTTGAGCTGGATTTCACATGAAGGACCAAACAGTCAATACAACGAACTCTGAAACCAAAACAAAGCTTAGTGTCTTTTATTTATCCATTTCTATGTCAGACAAATATAAGAATGAGCTCACAACAGACGAAAAGGATGTCAACACTTAAAACAACGTGCGATCTACATAGTAGAGGCGAGTCAGCTTTCAATTTTCGCTTTGAGAGCTACAATCACGGAACACTTTCAGTATAACGTACCTGAAAATACTTAACCACACTATCTTTTGTCAACGTGTTGTGAAGAGAAGGAATGCAGTTAGATTACAAAGTAATGACAAAGTAAAGAGTTTTATTCAACACTCATCTTGTTGTTATGGTAAATAAGTAAATGGTGTGTTCAACATCATTTACACCACAACACAATCGTCAAATTGTGCTACAATCACGTACATGAACGTGGCAATGTAAAAAAATAGTCGTCTCCACATGTTAGCGTTGTCAGTTACACTTACAATCAGGGGCGTATCCAGCTTCGTATATGAACTTAGGCACAATGTCGCACCGTTAGCGCGACTTTTCTAGGTGGGTTCAAGAGTATGTTCCCCCCGGTAAAATTTTAAAATTGGATTGCGAAAAACGTTATTTCCTGCGTTTTTGCAGTTGGTTTTCTAAAATATTTATTACTGGAATGAGCTAACATTCTTGCTCATAAATCATCGATTTTTGACAGTTTCGCTCAATATCAGAGCTCATCAGCATGCCTAGGAAACTCGCAGAAAAATATGTTTTGAGGGCTTCCGACATGGACGACCTGGTCCATTACGAACTTAGCCTAAAAAAATCTCTACGCTTCATCAACTTTTATATGGAATTTCATTTTACAATGGTTTAGTTATACCTATATGCTGATTATTATGCAAAGGATTTTATGTTAATTTATTAAATAAAGTTGTCAACAAAAAAAGCAAGAAAACGTTTGTAGATGTCGATCGACCAGGTATGTAAAGTCCTGAGAACAATTGCTGGTGTTTATATTGACTGAGGTTGGCAGGAGTCATCTTTACAGTCAAGAGTTAAAAAAAGCATCAAAAACTTTCACTCCTTTTTAGAAAACTAGTTCAATTACTCTTTCGTCTTTTGCAAAAAGATCTATAATATTTTCTATATCTGGATTAATTTCATGATGAATATACAATAAAGCAAGACCATTTAACCTGTCAGCGGCCATAGTACTTCTTGCATAGTTCTTTAATCTTCGCAAAGCAGAGAACAACCTCTCACACTCACAAGAAGTGACTGGAATAGTACCTAAGATCTTTAAAAATACATTTATGTTCTCAAAACGTGGGAAATTTACCTGTGAGATATACCATATGGATGAGCCTTAGTTATCATGGTTGTCTCAGTAGGAGCAGAAAGTGTAAACCTCAACTTTGTTGGTATACTGGGCTTTTTAGCTTGTGACAAGTGACTACTTCCCTTTCTTTTAGTTCCCTTCCCACCGAGTATCAAAGGCACATAATGATTGTGTTTGATTGCAGTTTTTTGAGGAGCTAAACCTTCAAAGCAAAACAAAACTTGCAAATAATCATTAGTGGGAGCACAAGCTCTAGATTGAATTCACGGTTCAATTCTTTGGTTAAATAACAAAATTCCACCTATAAGCACTAGAGTATATGTCAGGATAATAAGAAAAAAAGCTACAGGATGTAACTGAAGAGAGTGCCAACAAACAAACAAACCCAGTCCATGCCATATCTTATACATTTAACACAGCTTCTGCCCTGACCAGTTCAGCAACAGAACAACCACTTCCAGCACTATCACTATCAAAAGAGACTGACATGGCCACCATGCTTGAGATAGAATCAAAAGTTTGTTATTCTTAGTTTCAAAAAGATTTAAAAAACATGGATGTTTTGCATAATAATCAGCATATAAAAATAATTCTAGAGGTGATCAGCCTCAAAATAGTCACCACAGAGTTGTGACCAACAAGCAGAATTGACAATGAACTATAGAGGCAGTTGCCATTTGTAGCAGATCTGAAATAATGTTATGTAAATTTCAAATATCATGCTTCAGTTCATTTTTGTATATCTTATCTTAAGCAACACATCAAGAAAAAAATAAATAGAAACGTTTTAAATATGATCGAAATTGGAAAATATGTTTTGTTTTGAATCACATTTAAATAAAACACAGATGACAAATCCATCGGACATCACATCAAGTCAATTTATATTTGCTTATATATTCTTGTGTAAGCATTCATGCATAACATGTCATAAGTTTTCTAACCTTAAGGCAACCAAATTTGTGTTCTTTGTCTTGGCACTCTGCGGTATGTAAAATTCGGCATTGATATTTCGGAAAATATCAACACCGAGACGATCCAACAAATTATCGTTGGTGACAATGCTTTTGACTCTCAGGCAATCCAACATCTCTCCGTAGAGTTGAGCCATAAAAGTCTCATCTTTCCTCGTAAAAGCATCTTCGACTCGATCAGTGAAAGATGCCATGCTTCTCATTAATATTGTTGGTTCTGAAGCTCAAGATAAAACCTCGGCTATCAACAATGTCAATCTGTGCTGAATTTCGCACAACACCGCTTTAACATTTCAGCAAAAACGGCGGCTCGTTAGTCAGCACAACCGCAATAAACCAATCAAGAGATAGATTTTAGTCTTGTCAAGAGTCATGTCTTCTTGCAGCAGTAAATGCAACAATTCCCCTAGATGAAATTCGCCCAAAATTAGGACATATATCTTCAGTTATCGATAAGGACTCATTGGTCGTTCAACTAGGTGAACTACTAGTTGTACTAAAGCTTTTCAATGCAGAACAATCTCGCTGTGATTGTGCTACATAAAGTGTGTTGTTATATAAAGACGCATAAAGCTGAGTCGATTACTTTGTGATTACTTTTAGATTACTGCGATATTAATGAATAAATTAACACATTTAAGGGGCGTCATTTAGTAGAACTTGAAAATTGTCAAGGTTTTGTCCTATAGTGCAGTCAGTACATGTTTGTTGCACCGTCTGTTGAAAGAACGACACACACCACTGATGAACTTTCTAATGATGGCCCAGCTAGCTGAAACGCATAAGAGCTTAGCAGAATTTGCACGCAAGTCGAGCATTGTTTGGAAGAAATTCACTCGTTATTTAAAATTTTTATCCAGAAGACTGCACTAAAAGTACGAATCTTTCATAAAACTAGCAATCGAGATAGGAATGACAAATAAAATAATGACGTACTCGTGTGTTTTTTCGCAAGTTGTGAGTTTTAAAGAATGTGATTGTGCTAACTATTGATATTCGCGTACATTCTTTGAAAGTGCGCATTGAACAACATCATGATAAATTATGTATTCCTGTATCAACTGATGCAAATGCTACAACAAATATACTTATCTTACATCATTAAATTTTACATCATCCACACGACGCCTTATTATTTGATCATCAAACGGATATACGCTACTATTGAGTGATTCCATACCTGAGCTAGAAGAATACACGAGTAACTGCAATGCGTCTTGGTTGCTACGCAAAGTAGACGCAAAAACACAGCACTTGTATTGGACCTATTTTAACATAAACTTAGTGTATGAATATTATTTTGATGAAAGCTAAATGTAAACGGGGCGAGTACGGATTATTAATGTTTATTTGGTACAGACGGTGTCCCACGACAATAAGCCTAAATTGATATTGCGCAGAACGCATTTTTCAGAAACGATATTCCCATTTTTTTACTCTCTCTCTCAATTCCAATGGTGAGTGTGAAAATCATGTTGTTTTCTCATTAAATGTACCTCCCTTAATACGACCAACAGGCCAAATATTGAGAATTGCACAAGAAGATTAAATTTAGGCGCCACCGGTACTACACAGTAACTCATATAAAATTGCGGTAGTTTAGCACAAACAAACGAGGTTAAAAAAGTACTGAATGATATGCAATTTAGAAGACACTTAAATTGTATTGTTGTGACGTGTGTCATTATTTCTTAAAAACGTAGAAAGGTTGCATAAAATGGTATAAGAAACCCCCTAACGACAAGAATAGCGTAAACATTTCTTTTTAAAATTATTTTTCTACATTTTTGTTAGGTGTTAACAATTTAGTTTGAGCGAACATTTTTTGAAGCAAACAGTTTAATGTCCTCTTAAATATAAAACAAAAAAAGATTTTGACCTATATTCTGCAAGTACATTAAATGTGTATAAATGTGTATAACACCAATATAGTAGGCCGTGATCAATTATAATTAGTAATAATTAAGAAGGAAAATAGAATCAAATTTATAGATGCTTTTTTTTCTCACTCGCATGTTTATAAAGCACAGCAATAAATTCTTATTTCTACATATTCAAGGTCCAAGAAAAAAGAAACGGGAAGAAGAAATATATTTTAAAACTTACATATAGTTAAAATGATATCCGCATCGTTACTTTTAAATGCGTCATTTCGTAAACCTATTGCTTTTTTCTCTCTTATTTTGTTGTCATTGACATGTAATCGTTATCTTCTTCCTTCATTAGCGTTGTATCCACCTCTTGATAAATTGTGTCTCCCTCGTTTGCATTTAATGCCTGATAGTCATCTTCTTTATTCATTTGTGCTACATCCAATTCTTGATATGTTGTGTTTTCTTCGTTTGCATTCAATGACTGGTGATTGTCATTGTTGTCGTTCAATTTTGACAAGTCTAACTCTTCGTAAGTTGAATCTTGATGGCTTGCTTGCAGTTTAGACTTTGATTGAAGTTTTTTACTGCTTTTCTAATAACATACAGAAAAACGGTGGAATTAGAAGGCAATTTATGGTGCAGTAAAAAGAAAAAGTGATAATATTGTTGTAGTAGATGGAAATGAGGAAACGATAGTGATGGATAGTAGAGAGAAATGTTAACAAAAAAGTTGAAGCAAATAATGGTGATTGTGAGGAAAACCTTGAGATGAGACTCATAATATGATATACTTATGGGAGCAACGTTATCAAAGAAATTTACCAATGCAACTTCAGCGTACACCCCTAAAGTTACGTGCAGTGTTTACTACAACGCAGTGAAATCATTTTCTTTACAATAAGTTGACATATAACCTTTTTTCTCAGGTTGCAGACGAGTACGATGGATCCTTACCGTAGCAACATTTTGATTTTTTTTAAAATCTTGTTCTACGAATTCTTCGTCAATGCTAACTGTTAAACGTTTTTCATCTTTTGCTCTTTTCTTATAGGGAACGCGTTCCGTGTACATATTGCCAAGATTTCGCTTTCGACGTTTTCTGCTATGAGAACCGGAAAAATTTATTAACCTTTTGCGTCATTAAATATTAACAATAAAAAACTGCAGTTTTTATAACTTGATGAAATTTGAAATCTTTAGTTACAAAGATGCGATGGTACTTATTGTGGAAGGTATGGCAAAGCAATGAACGACTGGATTGCCTGAATACAGCAGTTTAAATGAATATTTTTATCCATTGCTTTTTTAAATTAAAAACCGCACATAACATAGGACCAGAACGAAGTTTTAAAAAGATAATTGGTAAGTAAAATCACCTGGTATAACAAATATTTAAAAGGAAGGATAATGTTTGATCAGTAATAGGGTTTGGGTTAGTTTTCATTTATTATGTTATGCTCATCTATTTTTTTTAGTGTGTATGTTTTCTCAAGTTAAGGCACAACTGAATGTATCCAAAAAACACCTCCTGTTCGGGGGTTGTCCCAGGCCTGTGTAAAAGCAAAAGAAATGTGTAGAAAAGATTTGTTAAGAAGAATTACACCTTAGCACAAAATTGATGAATGTTGCTAAAGGAAATATTGGTCCGTCAGGATTGACAAAAATTACAAATACAAACCAGAATAAAAAGACAGCAAGAAGAACAATGAATGGAACAGCACCAATTGCAACGCCTGCAACTAAAGAAAACGAAACCTTTCACAGCACTATCGTAGTTCTCATTTTTCAATGTACTGATTAAAACATGGGTATATATTATTATGGGTATATATTAATGGTCCACTCTATCTATCAATCTCCGTGGTTTCCGTCAATCATATAATGAAAATATAAAAATAGAATCCTTGGAGTTATTTTATTACCTAAATAAAAGTTATCTTTGGTGCTAGTACTACATTTGTTTTCTTTTTTAAAGCTAGTTTTGTGATCTGCTGTGGTGGCTTTTTTGCTAGGAGCTGCCGATAAGGTGTCACTTTTTGATGACGTAATGATTTGCATTGCCTGTGTCGTTCTAATCACTACAAATGACAAAGAAGAACATTGCAATAATTACGTTACGTCCACTAAATCCAAAAATGAGATGTCAACGATAATGTAGCAATCTGATTAATTAGAAGCAATTGATTGATAGAAGATGCAATGTTTTTTTCTTAAAGATACATTTTTATTTGGTAGATAAAGCATCATTCCACTACTTTTCAAGTTATTACTACACTTTGCTATATTGCATATATAAACACACTGTTCCTTCACCTTCCCCAACTGGGAACAAAGTATATGTAGCTCACTCGATACGAAAGAAGGAGTTTCTTTAAAACAGAAACGTCGTTGTTGAATTAGCCAATGGGAGGTTCAAAGCAATTTTTATTCATTCAAGAAGCATTATGTTTAATATTGAAGGAAATATATAAATAATTTTTTGAGGTATTTGAAAATTTCGGCTACATGAAAACTTATTTGTAGATTTTGTTCTATTTTACGTATGTTATATTTTTTGTTGTGATAAACTTCAACACGAACTTTTAACAAAATTTACCGAAGGAAAAACGAAAAAATCTTCAATAAATCAGCGCAGCCAGGCATTTGTGTAAAAAATCCACTCGACATGAACACAATATGCGCATGCGAATTGTCACCAGTCCCCTGCTTAGTAACTGTAGGGAACCTCCTCAAATTAATTTATAAATAATGAGGATTATCCAGTTCATCAATTTGACGTTAATTTAAGACACATTTGTCATCATATGAGTGAAGTCTTTTCTGCTTGCTTTGGTCAAAATTTTCTTAATTCGTCTTGAGAAGGCGTATATACTACGAACCGTTTTTTCATATTTATACGAAATTATACATAAACTAGCAAAACATTCCCCCAAACAATTTTAACACAAGTTTCCCATTATTTTTCCTAAATCTCACCACTACCATTACTCCAAACAATTTCCAATCGGCACAAAAATGTTATTTCATACTTGATTTAGGTGTTTTGCACGTGTAGTAAACAAGTAGTGTTGATGTTTCTCTGCAACTGGATGGTCTTGATAAGAAATCCTCCTTCCGTACTGTAAACGAACATTTTTTTATTCCGTTGCACTGATTTTGCGCAAAACTCAACGCTGACGTTGACAGACAGTCTTTTTCCATCAAAGATATCCCATATGGTTTTTTACTTCGCCCCCTTTCTTTTAACAAAACACCAAATTCAGCTGAACGCATTTCAATGACCCACTTAGAGCACGATTCATCACACTGGATATTTAAATCATCTCCGTTCTCAATCTTTCTTTTGTAAACTAAAAAATCACGATAATGCTGAAATATATTTCCAGATTATTTCTAAACAAATCAAGAAAAAGAACAATCTAACATGCACTTTAGCAGAGTCATATATACGATATCACGCTTAAATTAGAGTGCTGAAATTAACCTCTGATACTGAATAGCAAAAGCATTGCCCAATTTACTCTTTCAATTGAATCTAATAAGAAGTAAAATTTCAAACTAGCATAATCGCACTCCTAAAATTTGTATCGTCATATTCGTTTTAACAATCTTACACTAAAGAATTGAGTCAAAGTTGATGCCTATTTTATGCAAAATCATTTGTTATTCATGAAGATTAGCTATGTATAGTTCTCAACAATCATCACTGTGTAAAGTTATTTATAAACTGTGATACGTCTCGTAGCGTAATGGCGTAATTGACGACTCATCTTGGTGATGCAACTTACCATAGTTAAATTTGCACGAATTATTAACATCGCAGACTTTTATATTGAGAAAGACATTTTCATTGTCATTAGGCTGCCATTCATTATTGAATACAGATGAACCACCAATACAGAGTTTATATTGCGTGTCAGTATAAAAGTAGCCTAAATTTCCATTCTTGATTGGTCGGTATCTTCCTATTGGACCGCCGCAATATATACTCTCTGTTAGTATAAGTTCATCGTTTTTCCCAGGATCAGCAAGTTTCAAGCTATAATAAATAAACATAAATTGATAAGTTAGTGATATATTGGAAACTATCGTTGAATCTCAAAAACGTTGTTTTAAAGAAAGTTTTTTTTTTCATTCTGAAATTTATCGCTTTTATAAAACACGAGAATTCAAAAATTGCGTTTTGTGCGAGCCTAATTATATCCTTTGAGATTTCAGATCCAAACGATTTCCTGAACAAAAAATTAATAAAAAAAATTAATACAAACTAAATGCAGAAAAACAAAATCTTCACATTGACACAATCCAAAGCAAAAAACATCTTTCAACTTATGACACTTTTTTAAATAGTAATATACAAACTTTATCGTGGTGACATTACTAAAAATTTATTTTTAAAGACAGCAAACGCCATGGTGAGTTGCAAGAATAACTTTAGAACTCTTAGGTTCTGTTAACAAACAATCAGATGGCAATTGCAATGTTTAAAACAAACTTTAAGACATTTTACTTAAAAAATGTGGAAGCTTCTTTTTCTCCGGGAATTGCATTCATAATTGAATTAAATTAATTGAGTCGAATCAAGAATTTAATGACCTCAGCTCCTATCCTTGAAACTCACAACCATGCAGCAAAACGTCGAGGTCCCTATTTATGCACAGAATAATAAGATTTTAGTACAGTAATTTTGTTGAGGTAAATTTACGAAACATTCATGACTTTTCAAGTAAAGTTATTCCGTAGTGCTCGCATGCTCGTATACAATGCAAAATTGGTCACGTTTATAGTAATTGTAAGGCAGAAGGCATGAAAAACTTTTGTATTTTGATTAGTGGACTTAACAAATACAATACGTTTTTGGCTGACATGTAAATGTCATACACAATTTAAACTTAAAGTATGGAAAAATAATGAAAGTTTGATGAGCACAACCCCGAAGAATCATTACTACAAGCATAATGCAGTTCTGATGAGTTTTCTAGAAACACTCTTTAGGTTGGGTGTATTCTTTACTGCACATAATTAGTGCGGCAGAATCTGCTTTGTCATTACTTGTGATTGGTCAAAAAGAAAACTTCTCTTCTGCCAATTGAAACCTCGTGCTCAATAAAATTGTCTTTTAGGACTAATCTTCCATAACGGTATAGACAATATTCCTTGTCAAAACTCCAAATATTTGATAAGAAGATTGTGGTCATTTGTGTACTTTACGAAGCCTTGTCCACTTTTTTGCCAGAAAGCGGGGCGATAAGTGTATTTAAAAACTATTCGTGCATACATTGCCATTAGTTGTCATTTATAAATGAATGATTTTGGAGTATTTATTATTAGATCAACAAAGAAATTCTTCCAGTAACATTGCAATAAAACTGCTTGTTAAACAAATTAAAAAATTTTAAATAAACTCACTTGGATGGTAAAATACATTTTCCTGTAGTCACGTGATATGGTGGATAGTCATAAGACAACAGGAAAAAAGCACATCTTGAAGTGCAGTCATATGACCAAATGAGACGTTGTGTACCTTGTACATTTATGCAAAGTCCGCTTGCGTGTTTAATAAGACCATAGCCTAAAAAGAAATTTTAACGATCTGATGATTTATCATGTTTTAATCTAAAGTCGTCATTCAAACATTGATACGCTCTACTTATCAAAATGATATATTAACCTGTAAATGCAACTGTAAAACATAAAATAAGAACATTGAAAATAACGTAAAATGTCTTCCTAAGCGAAAATAAAAAAGTGAAACACATTGTTTTAACCAAATGAAAATTCATAAACCCAAGTCTACAGAAATAATATTTCTATAATGTGAAACAGAGGAAAAAATTAGAAATTCGTTGTAATGACGAGCAAAAAATTTCTTGTCAAAAAGAAAATTTCTTGTAGCTTTACACTATACATAAGTCCAGGAGCAAAAAATAGTATTTTATACCTTTTTCATTAAAATAACAACGAGGAGTTACTGTTTGGTTAAAGCAACATGTTTTTGGACATTGATCTTGTAGTTGTACATTATTTCCACATTCCAAAAGTTTGCCTCCAGAAACATCACACGATAAACCTGTAAGACACAGTAAAATAATGTCTACAAAGGTCACAGCTGCATGGTTTCACAACGACACTTTCAGCGTTGAAACCAGCTGTTCTTTCTTTTGAGTAGCGTTTGATATCGTATTTAACGAAAGGCCAATTAACAAGTTAATGAAATTTTAAGCATTATGTTGGTCTTAACGTAATATATACGACTATGTTCTTAGAAGTACGGCCTAACTGTTTGCTTTGTCGTGATCTTTCAGTTTCGTAACATCAGTACAGTTTTTTCTTAAAAAGTCTGATGTTTTTGTTGTAAGCGAACACCAAAATATTTACATAAAACGATCAAACTAGCAGGCTGAATTCACCACAAGTGAACAGTAGTCCGCAAAAAACATCTACTTCACGCTTCGGTTTTTCAACAGGCTAAAACGTCCCATTTTCAATAATAGTTGAATGTTTTGATCATTCTTTATCACTTACGTTTATAAAATCCTTTTTCCTATAATCCTATAATATTACGTATCATTCGTATAAGATGTGACATTTAAGATAGCTGAATTGTAACGTGACGTAGAAAACGCATGCACGATTTCTTTACTACATCTGAAATATTCTATTTAGCTACCATTACCAGCGTTTTTCATTTTTGTCTTTCCGGCAAAAATTGATCTTGAATAAATAATCTCATTGTTGGTATTCTGCTATTCATATACATTTCATTTCGATAAATTCCTTTGTTGGCTACACAACTGCTGAGTAAATCTCTAAATTTTCTTCCACACAAAAAGTATTTAAATTTCATTGACAGTATACAAAACTGCAAAGCTGTAACAAAATACTGATCTCGCATAATCATATTTAGTAGTTAAATAACTTTTTTATGTTAATTTTGCTGGTCTTCCCTAATGTTCAAAGGCCCCCATCACTTGACACTTTTACATCCCTCAGTTATGCCACTGGCTAAGCACAGGTGTTGCTGTGCCATGATTATAGTCTTGTATGGCAAAATCACTTATTACATACAAACACAAACAAAAATATAATTTACCATAGAAGTCTAGAAACTGCAAACAAAAATTATATATGTCAGCATATATAGTTATTATTTCACGAATTATTATAAATGAGGCTACCTGGTGATTAAATGTTCTCGAAAGCCGAAGGAGGTTAGTAAATCGTCATGGGCATGTGGGCCTACATTTTTTAGGGAGATCGTTCTTTCATTTTAAATATGATATAATGTACACAACTTTTCAGCAAATAATTCTCGACTGCTCTTATTTGCTTAACATTCATGAAGGGCTAAGGGGGAGGTGGGAGGCTGCAGAGCCTTATGCCCCCCCTTGCCTAATATGCATACGTATATAAATACTTTGTAATGATTTTTATTATTTCATGCTCAAAGTTCAGGGTTGTTAGTAACATATCACCGTACAGACGCAATACAAGGTTGTATTACTTGTTATACCACCATTGAATCTGAATAGCAAATTCTAATTAAGTAATTAAATACATTATTAATTCGACATTCTAGAACAAAAGAAATTGAGGCAACCACGCTATTTTATAGTTGAAAACCATGCATGTGAAACAAACACCTTTTATGAACTAGGATTTTCAACTTTATGTGGCACAGAGAGGAAAATGCAAAGATGTGTTAAGTTGTATTTAGTAAAGGAGGCTCTACTGCGCATTCCAACTCCATACTCGTTCTACACTCCATAATTTAAACTCCGCATTTTCCAGCATGCCATTCGTGCATCTTAACACGGAAGTGCCTCGGTTTTAATTGAAAATTTTATGGCACTTGCACAATTTTCATTGTAAAATATTACACAATATTTACTAAAAGAAGACAATTGTCAACAGGTGTAAATGTAAATACCGTCTAAATAATTGTAAGAAATTAAAAAAGCAAAGAAATATAATTTCACTATATTACATTGACCAACCTGTAGTTAACTGTAAGAAGCCGATGAACATTAAAACGCGAGCGAAAATATTAAAGAAGTACATCATTCTTTTTCCCCAATTCCGTGAATTTTGAGCGGGATTTCATATTATGGGGCAAACAGTCAATACAACGAACTCTGAAACCAAAACAAAGCTTATTGTCATTTATTTGTCCATTTCTTGGTCAAGCAAATATAACAATGAGCTCACAACATACGGAATGGATGTAAACACTTAAAACAACGTGTGATCTACAAAATAGAGGCGAGTCAGCTGTCGATTTTCGCATTCAGAGCTACAATCACGGAACACTTTCAGTATAACGTACCTGAAATTACTTAACCACACTATATTTTGTCAATGTGATGCGAAGAGAAGGAACGCAGTTAGATTACAAAGTAATGACAAACATAATCATCAAATTAAGCTACAATCACGTACATGAGCTTGACAATGTAAGAAAATAGTTGTCTCCACATGTTTAGTGTTGTCACTTACACTTACAACTGGTTACAATGATATTTACTTCATGAATCGGACTCAGGGCATTCTGGGTAACTAGGAACTATAACTCAATAAACTGGTTACCTATGGTATAAATGTTACAGCCAGATACCAAGTCTTTGTAAATGCTGTTAATTAAAATATAACTACTAAGCACGAAATTGAAACACAGTTGTGCGCTGCGCCTAGGTCATTGTCAACTTAAATGGAATTAATCTCAGGAAATTGATTTCTTTTTCAAGAATCCTTTTCTGACTGAGAATTTCAACAGAAATGAGACAAAAGATATTGTAAATTGACATGGTGGAAAATGCTCACAAATGGGAAAAGTTATAAAAAATTGTTTTAGCATTTATTATTCGCGAAATATCATTTGTTTTAAAATAGTATTGTGTTTGAAACGTAAAGATCTTAGCAGTTATTGACGTTCTCTGTTTTTAAAGTTTTTTAGTTCGAATTGTCAAAATAATCATTAGTAAAAAACTTTGAATTTATAGTAGAGTGTTGGGTCAAATAAAGCTCGTTAACGATTATGGTACTGTTTTAGGAACGTTCTTTATTGAAAAAAAGTATAATTTAGAAGCATTTTAATAACAAATAAAAACAAAGTTTGATGCAAACATTTTTCTGGTTATTTGTAAGCTAGTTTTAGAATGTGTTTGTTTTTTAATATTTTTGGGGTGATACAACTTTTTTGAAACAATTTATATTAATAACACTTTAATTGCAAACAAAAACCATGTTGAAAAAGGCAAAAAATGTAGACATACGTAAATTATTGACTAAAACAATTGTATTCTGAAAAGCAGTGCAGGGATTTCCATTTATATCATCATTAACTTTGTAAAAATTTGCTATTCTACATTCAGACATTTTTCCTTTTATAATCATAAACTATGCAACACAACCTGGCATGCCCCAAAACGGTACCAATAATAAGAAATAAAAAATACTGCTACCGGTGTATGAAAAACGTGACGGAGAAAGTTAAAGAATCATTCAGTAATGTTTCGAAATATCACTCAGGGGCGTACATTATGAGAAAGTGTGTGTGGGGGGGGTCCTCCCCCAATAGTTTCTGTACTATGTCTAAAAGTTTATCAAAAAATTGACATTGAAGAAAATAGGCGTTCCCGTCAAAATTAGAAAACATAGCTGCGAAGTTTGATGGCGATATTTCGTAATACTGAACACATCGATACAAGCATTCAAAAACAAACATAATTCATTTTACACAAGAAAAGAATAAAAATAAACTCCAGTGTTGCGTCATGTTCAACAACGTCAGACAGTATGCAATCACATTATTTTTCATTGATTTTGATAAAATCAAACAAATGTCGCCTGACTATTATAGAGCTGAAACATTGATAAATTTTTTTCATGCTGATGACCAAAATGGCTATCGCACAAAACATCTTGTGAGACTTATTCTTCAAAAAGCAACCAGCTAATAGTGACAATAAAATAAAACGACAGGCGATGATATTGGTCAGTGGCGTAGACAGCGCATAAACAGGGCTGTTAAAATATCTGGAGGTCTAGAGCAGAACGAATTTGTCCATGCAATGTTGAGATTTTGAAGTTAATTCACGGTAAGAACCGTTAAATTGTAAAAAATGAAATGATGGTAATCATGAAAAATTTAAATGGCATAAACAAACTTAAGGGCTTGATACGAAATTGATCATGGTGATAGAAAATAAGAAAGAGATAATGGCTCTGATAAAAAAGAAAAAGGATGATGCTAGGGAGGATTCTAAGGATGAACAGGTAGATGAAAACAAATAATGATGATGGTGATTGTGAAGGGAAGCTTGAGATAATCACAAAAAAAAAACACTAAAAAAATGATATTGTTAAGAGCAACTGAAAAATATTTTTTAATTCAATAACTTAATCTGTGTCTGAAGTTTCTCTTAACGAACACTTACTGTAACAGCGTTTTGATTTGTCTTAACATCTTTAGGAAATGGTACGACACAATCTTCGTCCATGTTAACGATTAAATTTTTCCTTTGTTTCATCCTTTTCTTATATTTAACGGGTTCCATATATATGTTACCAACATTTCGATTTCGACGTATTATGCTGTAAAAACCAAGCCATTTTCATAAATTTTCTACGTTAAAAAACAATGAGAAAGAAAAATTGTATTTGATAAAACTATCCGAACACCTTTTATTCAGTTAAGAATAACTGAGTAAATCTTATCAGGTAAAGAGATACAGTTAATAAATCTATCTATAGATTCTCTAATCAAAGGCAAAGAAGGGCTGAATTTTGCAATGTTATAATCAGTTAAATGAATTTTTCCATCCATCCATGCATTGCTACTTAAAAATACACAACGAATCAAATCAAGGACCGCTTTACAATTATACTAAGGTTTAAAAAATACGTAAAATAATTGATAAGTGAAATTGTCTTATGAATCTAACGTATGAAAATGTAGCAATTAAAAAGAAAAATTCACGCTCTTATAGCAACAAGTGTCGCTGAGCACAATATTGGGCAAATCTCGAAAATGAAAACAATTACAAAATACAAACCAGAACAAAAGGATCA